GTACACAGCTCGGTCACAGAGCCTTTCACTAAGTGGTTCTGTCACTCACAATCGAATTAGCCAATACGGCTGGTTTCGAGCTGAAGCTGGAGAGCTCGTTTTTCAGTATTCGTCGCAACCTTGGGACATTAAGCAACAACCATGGAGGTTCTTTTGAGAGTATGCTCGTATGAATTTAATTCCGTAACCCATAGACAACTTTGCCCAAAATGCATGATGCGACCACACTCGAATTTTACTGTGACTTTCATTGACGCCACATATTTACGTACATTCGGTATAGTTGATGAGGTATGGTCGTTTCAAACAACCATATGATTCACGTTCCTCATAGAAAAATCGTTCACTTGTCGTACCCTTTCGGTGTCCAACTGCCGTGCTACCTGAAGGTTGCACGAGGGCTGGGATACTGTTAGGTTGCCCAAGCCTAGACAGGGGAAGTCAAGAGGCAGAGGTCGGGTTTGAACCAGGGACCTTGTGGTCAGTAAATTCGAGTTCTAACCACTTCGGCCATCTTACCATCTCACGTTTTCCATATTCACTGTTGGTACAGCTGGAGCAAAACAATCTCAGTGCAACTTCATTTATTCTGGGAGCTATTATTCTGGCAATGCGTCCAGACTCTTTTGTGATAGTATACTCATCCAACCGAAATGATGACACCGATATCATCAGCAATGCACCTCTAGTTTTCCGTGGAGATGTTCTCTACTGTTACGGATTGTCGTGACTTTCGAATTCTTTGTCCTCGTGGTCGTGTTCTCTATTCAAGGGCTGAATATACTAAAATGTTGGCAACCTTTGGCACGAATTCGCTTCATTTCTTTTTGGAGACCAGTTTGAAACGCACACATACCGATGTGAGTTGTCCATGGAGGCAGCATTCAGGGAGTTTTTAAATTTCCTCCTTAGGATGCTGCATCCAACTAATTTGCTCGCTCAGGTTGCCTATCCTGACGAGCAGGGGAATCCGCTTACAAGGCCTGTGTAACGGGATCTTCGAGTGACGCGTAATACCAGGGAAGGCAAAACAAAGTTGGAGCCGGATTTCTATACGGTAGTATTAATGTAAGACAAATTCATGAATTGTTCCAACCTCGAGAGTAGATACTCGTCCAAAACAAATGGTCCTCTTGGACTACGAAAGTACAAATCAAATAAGTAAACACGATCCCATGTGAGGCAGTCACACGTGCACAAAGTCGGTCACAAATGGCTGGATGACCTCAAGGCCAAATGAGTGAAGTGGTAAGGACAAACAAACATCAGTTCACATGCACGCACTAAACAGAGCGGGGGTTACGAGTAGGGACAAAAGAAACGTGGGGGAATTTCCAAGGTCAACGTAATGGATGATACAGCCTTCATCAATTCCCTAGGCGACAAAAAGATATTGATCGTTTAATTAACTCCCTTTTGGTGCCAGTGCCACCTGGAAAAAAAACACGAGAACCGAGATGCTGCCAGTTCGTCAAAGCCTAGACAAACAAAGTTGAAGTGCCGGAGGTGGGTTTGAACCACAGAGCCGTAAGGTCAGTAAGTTGTCGCCTTGACCACCGACCCATCTCGAGGTGACAGCGTTGACACGATATTATGTAACTAAGCGGAAAGATTGGGCTTACCTTGGGAAATCATGAAAAATTCACATCAATGGAGTTGTATCCTCTAGACTGTACACTGGCTGGTTCCCATCGTAAACATATCGTTTTTTTAATTCCATGATCAGCGTCATGCAAATAACTTACACTTTCATCAAAATCATTTCAAGGGAAGCGTCTTGCCAGATTAAGGGATCGTAATGATCGTTATTCCATAGTCTTCGGATTTTGATCCATTTCCCTGTGAAAACGCCCAATGGTTTGCTTTTCCGATCGATTAATTTTGAGAAACCTCACGTTTCTTGAACTGATGGATCCAAAGGGGAACTAAAAAGACCCCTACAAATATATCCTTGGAATAGACGTAATACACTACTCACAAGGTTGCTGAAAATTCCTCGACAGTCCACGAACGGTTTCGTCTTTCTTGGGGCTCTCGCAAAACAAAATTTGTTTTCAACTTGTTCCGCTTATATTCAGTTAAGTATGCACGGCTGTCGACACAGTGGTTTTTCAGAGAGCAAAATTGACACCTACGTTTTTAAGTGTGCTTTCCGTCTACCCTGGACTATGGGAATACTGGTTTGCTTCTTTCGGAAGAAATGTACCTTAAAACATGGGTAAAGAGAAACGTTGTTCATGGGATTATAGCGGACCTTGCTTGAGAGGATTACTGAATGTCAACTTCAGGTCGCACTTTTGCAAGAACCATCAATTTCCCTTGCGATTTCGGTATTTTAACTGAATCATGGTCGCCTGCTGGGCTTTTTAAAGCTCTTTTGATTGCAAAAAATTACACTGCACCACTCTGTTTCACCATGAATAGTTTGGGCGTTAAAGAAAGAAAGGTTGCTGAAATTCCTCGACAGTCCACGAACGGTTTCGTCTTTCTTGGGGCTCTCGCAAAACAAAATTTGTTTTCAACTTGTTCCGCTTATATTCAGTTAAGTATGCACGGCTGTCGACACAGTGGTTTTTCAGAGAGCAAAATTGACACCTACGTTTTTAAGTGTGCTTTCCGTCTACCCTGGACTATGGGAATACTGGTTTGCTTCTTTCGGAAGAAATGTACCTTAAAACATGGGTAAAGAGAAACGTTGTTCATGGGATTATAGCGGACCTTGCTTGAGAGGATTACTGAATGTCAACTTCAGGTCGCACTTTTGCAAGAACCATCAATTTCCCTTGCGATTTCGGTATTTTAACTGAATCATGGTCGCCTGCTGGGCTTTTTAAAGCTCTTTTGATTGCAAAAAATTACACTGCACCACTCTGTTTCACCATGAATAGTTTGGGCGTTAAAGAAAGATGAATACAAGAGGAATGTTCCGTTTACTAACTGCACTTTTTTTTATTCGACTGCAGTCTTTCGTGGTTTCAGCACTGAGTGCATTTGTGCTCGTCACTGTATATTTTGTTGTTGTAGATGAATAAAAACTCAAAACTTCTGTTTTCGTCAACTTGAAGTGCGATGTGAACACCTACTCTCCGTGTGCGGTGTACAAGCACGCTATCGACACATTCCTGTTCACATGTCACCAAGCGAAGTCCACTTGCACTTCCCCAGATTGATTCACAATCTGAATGAACCAGATCAGATGGAGGTTTGATCAGCTGCTTTTCTAACCTCCATAACAAAACACGTGCAATCTGTCTTTCATTCCCCTTAACGGCTTGAATTATTCGAAATTTTCACGCGTCAAGTAGACGACAAGCTGGTTTATCCAGGATTTTCAATTGACGAGCTGCTTTCTAACAGTAATTCGAGGCTCATAGTTGATAGTCCTGCCTCTTCTAGTACTGTCGCACATTTGTTATGACGTAGGCCATATGACTTCTCAGCTCTTTGTTTTGTCTACACAGTACCTCATACGGCAGTAAATTCTGTTCGTAAATCCGCGTCCATTCGTTGATTGGTATTTCGCTTTGACCTCCCTTCCCCTCAGTACTGGTTGGACTTGAATAAGAAATTATCAAAACAGTTAGAAAGTAAGTTTATCATTCTAGGTGCCAGTATATTTGTTCCTCTTGTTTCCTCATGAACTGCTGCTTATTTTAATTTACTACCGCTTCGTACTGCTTCTATGACTGTCTAATCAATCACATGTTCTCGTTGGTTCCCATCCAGGCTAGGTCATAAAACAGGAGTGAAGAGCTTTGAGCGCTAGTCAAGAGGAACCGATCGATAACCGAATGAGACTGACCGTTGACTAGATTGCTCTGAACAGACAAGAAAGGAGTCGTAACAAGCTGGGCGTGGTTTGCTGATTGAAAGTGTATACTGCCGTAGTTGATTTACTTCATGCACTTGTTCTACAAATGAACGTTCTGATTTGTGCGTAAGATGGCAATTTCACATGATCTTAACAATTTCGTAAAGACTGTGATGGTGTGCCATCTAAGTTTGAACTTCAAGGGCGGAGCATGTAGTCGGCTGTAAGACGAGGGCCGATAATATACAGTGAGGTGAACTGTGAACGCGTGCATTTTCTCGGGAAAATGAAAGAAGCGCCAGATTGAACATCACTTATGCCTTGCGATTACTACAGACAGATTTTGTCTTTTTTCATTTCCAACAGTCTCGATATTTTTCAAAGGATATCGTGGCGAAACTTTTAACACACACTGACGGGGAGTTTGATAGAACAATTAAGCCAGCATATCTTAAGTTGCGTGCGATTCTTCGAGGTCTTACCGTTGATTAAACGTCTCCTAATTTACTGTCGTTTTTTGAATTTTTATGGCGACACTAAGCTTTTTGTGGTGGTATCTTAACAGCTTTATTGAAGCGGGGTATCTCAACCTGAAGAAGTTATAGAATATGGCAATTTAATCATTTCACTGACCGCATCAGGTCAGCTGAACTGAAAAACTAATAGTTCTTTACGTTCTTCCTCTTCCCTGAGTGTATCATTAACTCGGAAAAGACTGGAAAACCTGGGCTTCTCAGGTTTTTACTTTGACCAAGAAACATGTACTTCAAGCGTACGAATCTGTTGACATGACTAAATGCGTGCCACTCAAAATTGACTGACCCATTGCAACCTTGTTTTTTCAATCAGGGGAGAAAAATGTCTGGCGGGTTGGTTGATCTTGACTTTTTTAGCAATCCTCAGAAATGCCGATTAAGTAGTGTGCAAAAGCTACATGGGCGTCAGTTTAGTTGAAATATTGAGACAATCTAGTGGACCCAGGTACCAGTACCGTGCCTGAATGTGCTTTGTCAGCTTAAAACACTTATTAATGAGGTCAAAATGGGTGTGGAACCCTGTGGCTTAATATCCGTTTAGGGTGTTCTCTACTAGAACCTGAGTTGCGATCCCGAATGTGGAGGCCGCGCTTCGAACGGTCGTGCCCAGGCCGCTACAACCACTTGCTTCATTGAAGCTGCCTCATCCTCCTCGACCAATAGTCGCAGCAAAGTAAACGATGGTAAAACGAAAATCCTCTAACACTGGTGGTGGTCGAAAGCGTTTGTTGTTTTTCTTCTTCGTAAAGACGGATTATCACTGCAGAGCATTTATAAACGGTAGGAAACCGGAACACAAGCAAGTATCACTAAGACTGCAATCCGTTTGTGTACTCTCCTAATCTGAAAATGTTGACTTCTTATGTGCGGCTTATGCTTTGGTGAAGGTCACATGATATGCCTGTCTGTATTTCAACCACACAGCGCAATTTTCCACGAGGCATTTTTTGAAACTAAGGGAACTCACATATGACTAATTGCTCCGCTGAAAAATCCAGATTTTGTTTTATGAAAGCTTCCTGTTTACCCACTATTTTACAAACGAATAAAAAAATGATTACTACTGAACTTCCAACGTTACATTTGTTGTACCTTGGAAGAATTTCAGTCAGGCCAGCAATTCTAGTTAGAATTCAACAGAGGACGGCCTGAATGGATGTGAACCCTGAAAATTTATATGCAAATGGATTCGAATACCTGGTGGTGAACTAAATGACGCAATGGATATGAGGTACTCCACAACAACATCGATCGGACCACGGGTGACCCGAATTCGTGGTCATCTTTCATTTCGCACATGCGCGTAGTGAAAGTGATGCCAATTGAGTGGTATACCTAAAGCTTCTGACCCGAACAGGTCAATTTTAACGTGATGATGACAAGACCGCACATAACAACACATCCAACTTACACTGTATCAGGAATACCTGATCGGGCTATTGTTAACACGAATCTGTTAGAACAGAAGTCTGACCGTACTCACAAACCACAATGAGCACGAGGCATGTTTGGATTGCTTCATGTATTTATATGCATCGTGCGGATTTGTACACTACCTCTGTCATGAGACATCACACTGTATTCCTTCGATTAAACTTTTCTGCAATACCCGGTGCGAGTGACGAACTACTCAATAATTGTTGACGAAGCGCACATGTTCTGAAGGACAGAATTAAGTTGTGTACATTTGCGCGTGCTGGAATGGAAAATCTAGGACTCACGGGAAGTTGATTTGGGACCTATCTTTCGAATACAAGTTTGGTCAAGTCTTGTGCGTCAGTTGTTCGCCACGAATTGTGTCCATACTCCAGATCCTGGTATGTGTACGGCAGCTTTCGATAAAGTAGTACTCCCAAGGAGTGACGAACAATGGCAGTTAGTTGTTCGAACAATTCGATGTCTTATGTTGTCATAACTCAAATCTCTGGGTTCTCTTTCGTGTAACACGGCAACTTGAAGAGATTAGCGAATATGAGTGGATTGCACCATTCTATACATTCCACATTTGCGGTGTGTCGGTGTGAGATGCGTTCCATGACTAATCCTGCTATCTGCTCACCAACACAGACTTTTGTGGACAATCTTATCTGTTTTTTAGAACAACCTTGGAAGTTGGAATTCCACATCAGGTACTACCCGCTCGACATTGACGGATTCGAGGACGACTTGACGCGATATTGCCTGTGTCTACAAATCCGACAAGACATCATATCCGGACAGTAAGTCAGTGTGTGGACCCTGTTTATTTTGCAATCTAAACCCTCTTGGCCCATGGGAACATTCTCTCGTGGTTCCTAAAAAATGACAGATTTGATCAAGTGTGCTTTTTATTCATCGCAGTTAGACAGCGGTTGTCTTAGAAACTGCGCAAGAGTTGTTTTAAAGACGATCAGACGTTCGCCCCGTCATTTGAATATTCTGAAAGGATAAAGAGTGTTTTACTTTGCGCACACATTTTTTCAATCACAAACCTCGTTTTCTCCGTAACTCAAGTAACGACAAAACGCAACACTTAAAACTACACATCGTCTTGGTGGGAGGAAAGTTGTGAAGTCTTTCAAATGGCTGAACAAAACTCTCGCTAGAGCATTGATCTTCGACACCCTCTGCAGCGTACAAATATCCCAAAGTTTGCTGATCCGGGATGAAATTCAGAGAGTATTCCTGATCAATCAATATAGACGATCTGGATTGCTACTAGTGCTTTTTAAATTTATTTTAGTGCAATCCCAAAGCGCATAACACCTTGATGAGAATTGTAATAACCCCCGTCACTCTCATCACCCGCCACTCATTACCAATAAGTATTTGTGCATCGTTGTCATACAAATATAAGGAAGGAACTACATGGGAACACCGTGCCGAGTGACGCGACATCCAACGCAAACCTTGCGCACAACGACAGATAGAGTGGATAGCCAGTCCGGCTTGAAAGTGTCAGTATGTCTGTCAATGGTTACTTGTTAAGGACTATAAGGTTTCCAAGCAAGTGCAACGAGGATCAGTTCACCCAAACCAGGAAGGCAGGGGGGATTACACAGCACGTGGGAACACCGTGCCGAGTTACGCGACGTCCAGCGCATCCAACGCGCACAACGACAGATGGAGTGGATAGCCAGTCAATATGTCTGTCAATGGATACTTGTTAAGGACTATAAGGTTTCCAAACAAGTGCAACAAGGGTCAGTTCACCCATACCAGGAAGGCAGGGGGGATTACACAGCACCCAGTTTTGCAGTGGCCAATTCCTTGTCGCGTTAACATGTTATGGTTTATTCTGTACGAGTTTTTCACCAAAAAGGATTTGGAATTCAAAACAGCTGTGTTTAGGCCCATGTGGTACTTTCAGGCCAGGGATAGGGGGTCCGCTTAGCAATCAAAAGCAAGACTTCACTTAAAATCGCCTTGTACACGCAACCCTTTAGCTTCATTGTGGTTCGGTTACGTCAACCAAATAGTACCGCTTCACTGCTTCCATTGTGACTGCTTCTTTGACTTCCTTTTCTACGACAAATAAACAGAAAAAACACTGTCAAGCTCTTCACTTCGGTCGAGGAGTACATACCGAAACAAAGGACCACTCCTGACATAAATAGTGTGCTGATTAGTGCTAGTCGAGACCCGAAACACTGTAGTTCGTATAGACTAAGTCCTCTAATCACCCCCAGGTGCGAATTTCAGTGGAGTACCCACCCCACGGTTTTTTACGACAAAATGAATGAAAATATAGGTTGCGGGTAGTCCTAACGTACCCTACCCTTCAGGCAGCTCTTTTTAAACTTCTACATGGTCTGATTGCAGGAAGCATATGTGCAAAATTCAAGGGGATTCCTGTTTGGCCAACTACACGAAGAGTGGTCATCTTATTTAGTTGAAAATCTTTCCGGAATCAAGGGAGACAATGGCTATTGGGCGGCGGTGTGTGACGCGTCGGAAGTAACGTAGATATGTGATCACTGCACCTCTTAATAGGCCAAAATCCTGCTGTCTTCTCTAGTTTGGGTTCAGTGTATTGAAGTTGGGCTTCATGGTAGCTGAGAACTTATCTTAAAGAGTTGAAAATCTTTCCGGAATCAAGGAAGACAATGGCTATTGGTCGGCGGTGGGTGACGCAATGCTCAGGCATCGGAAGCAACGTAGATATGTGATCACTGCACCTCCTAATAGGCCAAAATCCTGCGCTCTTATCTAGTTTGGGTTCATGGTAGTTGGGCTTCATGGTAGCTGAGAACTTATAAATGTGTTACTACAGGTATAAGGCTAATACCCACATGGTTTGGAATCATTTTATAATGATTGATTGACTCAAATTCCATAAATGTCTTTTTTCCAAATATGTTGAAGTAGTTTGGTCACAGGTTAAAGTATGGACCAATCAGGGTCTTTGAGTGATGGTTGTGGGACCTCAGGGCAGAAAGGTATATTAGTACCTCACCAACTGCGAAGAGTGCGAATCACAGACCATGGCTTTATTCGGACGGGTTGAATGAAAAACAAAGATACTAGGATAAAGTATGAACTAATCACCGTCTTTGAATGATGGTTGTGGGATCTCAGGGCAGAAAGGCAATTGGTATTTCACCAACTGCGAAGAATCCGAATCACAAACCGTGGCTTTATTCAGCCGGGTTGAATGAAAAACAAAGATACTAGGGCAGCCCGCCTTCACTGCACATATTATTTCCGGTTTTCCTCTCCAATTAGCTCACTAACGCACCATCTTCTGGGTTTGGTTTTTGCGGATTAGTTGAAACGGTTTTCGTTTCCTCTCAACTGTTTATTAAACTTTGTGGTTCCACCACAATTGTTCCTTATCTGAGCAGCTGTCCAGTTCGCCGTCTAGCTGAACTGTGCCATAAGCCCGAAAATTTATTTACCTAAGGAAGGACAGTGACCTTTCTGTGATCCATCAGTGTCCACGTACTTGTTCATAATCAGGGTTTCTGGCGTCCCTGTAGCTGTTGCTTCTTTTCCCAGTAACGACCAGTGTCCTGTAAGGATGCCACTGTTAGATTATCGTACAGTAAGCTTTATCATGATTCTATACCGTCTTTCGAGGTTTTTCTATTACAAACGGGGGTTGTGTCTTATTAGGTATTTAGTAAAACAACGCATTTCGAAAAAGCTGTTGCCAATTGCTCGCGATTCGTTTTCAGAGAACTACATGGAAGAGCACACCTCGAGCCCTGAATTTCACTTTTTCCGGTTCTAACAGTAACCTGAAAAAGGTGCATTGACACAGAAGAAGCGATGTACAGATATCACACTTATCAAGGAGCACTGGTCTCAGATTTGCATCCAAAAACGAACTTGTTCAAAGAACCATGTGAAGTATGAATAAAATTTAGTATGATAGATTAAGAAAGATACAACAGTATGAGTCACCAAAAAAGAAATGATAGACGACCTCAGGATTACCACGATCAGTTGTCGCGTGGTGGATATTCGGTAAAGACAGACATCCACACAAAACATGACGATAACATTCCACTGGATAGCAGCAACTAGAAAGTAAGAGAGGTAGAAATCTGATTTCTCTGTTGGAGAAAAAAGCACTTCCACGGTGAAGAAAGTCCTTTTTGGTGCATGCAGGCTGGACAAGCACTCTGTCGAGCTATTTAATCTAAGACTGAGTATGTGATGTCGGAAAATACTAGTTCCTTTAGCAAATGATTATTGTACTGAATTGTAACGCTTTGCCTTTTTGACTACTCGATGTCTTGGGCTCATAGAAGTGTTTTTGTCTCGGGGGTATTGATCGAGTGTAGAGAGAACGCAGATGAAACAAATGTTTGTTATTTGTGCACAAAGTGAAACGGATTAGTTTCATATGTAACCATTAACGTGTATAGAATTTCAGGTTTAAACTCGAGACAGGTCGGAATGCGTCTGTTATTTCTAGCCCATACATTCTGACTTTATAGAGCACCAAGTACTTACAAGATTGGCGGATTGTGGGAAACATAATTAGTAAAGCTGATTACCAAATGATGCTAGTATCATCAGTTCTCTCAATATTTCAGTAGCTTAGACTTCTCCGAAGCACTGGAATTCCCTCAGGTTAGGGAATTTCCCTCACTTAAGCATACTGCTCTAGGAGACAAAAATGGTGATTTGCTTGAACTTCAGTCATGTTGCGAACTCTAACCACTTAAGCTCAAACTTCTCTCTAGAAGAAAAGTTATCCTAATTCTGCTTACTGCTCAACATGTGTACACTGTCGATTTTGTTGTTATGTCGCAGCTTTTACAAGACCACCACCACTTTTTGGTTTTTCTCGGCGTATCAGATATTACTCTTTAGGTCTCGAGGACATTTAACCTAGAGTGGGCTTTCAAGCGTGCCGGCGAATTTCCGAGTAGGCATCAAACGCAGTGTTGCACTCATTGTTTTACTACTTAAAACTTTCTTCTTCAGAACACGGTTTAGTGTAGAATGTGAAGCCTTCGTACACTCTGACCATGCGACAGGCTGCAAAACCCAGCTCAGTGAATGTATACCCTGTTCGGGTCCCGAACGTTTAGGTGTTTCGTAGTTTTGACCGCGGGATTGTGTGAATGAAGTACAGTACATCACGATCTAATGTTCTAGGAGGTAACATTTTAAGGAGACAACTGTCGCTATCCTGATGAAGAAGCAAACTTTCAAAAGCTATGAAGGAAATATTTTCTACATCCTGAGGTGACTGCTTTGTCTTCATAAACATAAATGAACTGCACTATGGCATTGCTTGAGTTCGTCTCTAGAAAGTCACAAGAAAGCTTACAATCTTATCTATGCTGTCGTTAGCTTATCACGTGATATCAGTGAGTTTTTTGGAGGTGAACTAATTAGAAGTAATCAGTGCTTCATTGGGGGCGATTTTTCGAATGCGTCACCTAGTGGCAACATATTTAGGAAGAATTGACTCTAGAACTCCGAATGAGGTGACGTGCTATAACTCAGTGCTTACCAAGTGCTAAAGGTTGCAATTTTTTAATTGCCATGTAAAATCCCGTCGAAGAGAAACACACTACTTATGGAGGCATTTTTTGGCGAAAAAACCTTGTTGACTTCCAACCACCCTAGTACCGGAAACAAGGTATTTTCTCTTCAACGAATTCTGAATTACACTCCAAATGCAGCCATTAGTTTGAGAATGCTCTATGCCATTAACTCCGATTTATCAATCAATTATTAGCGTTTGCTAGACGTGGCTAAAAGCTTAGCAGACGTTAGTCGAACAGCATCATTCAACATCATCATTCAACTCCACAACTGTCATATGGACTGAAATTGAAAACGATCTCAAGTGTAGTCACTGGTGCACTAACTAGCATATTCCATTAGACAATATGTAACAGCACCGAACAGCTGACATACTTCGAACGAATTGAGAAATCTCATCTCACACTCAAAAAAGACAGGCGAATCACCCGGGATGCAAATTTACTAAGCCGATAAACAAAACGTGTGACGTGGTTTGTTTAATTACCCTTCTTTGAGAAAACAGTCTCCTTGAGAAAGCACTGTAATAAAATACAGCCCACTGAGGGATCGATTTTATTGTGGGTCTTGGTAACACTTGGTAATACTCACGGCAACACCTACGGTAACTTCAATGGCAATCTGAATACCGTAGGAGCATGGCCCTGTTGTTACTGCACCGGTGTATTCGTCACTTTCAGAAATGCAAAGTCTTGAGATGAAAACATTCACCAACCTTTGGAAGCGTTCATGAAAATAACGAGAAACACGAAGCGAAATCTTCTTTGTTCGAATGCAGGCGGTGTCAGGGACTGCCTATTTTTACCTAGTATTACTTATCTAGTATTGCCTATGATGGTTCTATCTACAATGTTATCCTGGATCTTAGAGTGAATTACTGAGCTCCCTACTCCCAGTGCTACCTCCCCATCATCCAACCACGCAGAGCAAAAATCTGATATGACGGACTTCTGATCAGCGGCATTGCTGTCTGGGTATTTTACTCTGTAATTTTTCTATGGGCTATTACTAATGAACAAGTTTATCGAATAATTAATAGATGTCTAATGTTTGTAGTATGTAGGGTTCTCGATTGCTGAAGCTATCAAAAGGCCGAGGCTAATACCATCCAGTTAACTTTTTGTTAGGGGAACCCTATGTAATTTAATAAAAAAGTATGAATAATTTTCTTGCCACCAAACAGACTCCCATGTTCCTTCCAAACCTACGTCGTGCTTGGAGCCTACGCAGTCCAGTCTGAAGCGGGTGACTACGACCCTCAAACTCATGGTGGTATTGAATACATTTCCAACATGCCGTTTGCGCCTCAGTCCCTCCAGACACCTCAGATGCTTCAAAGAATTACCGAGCTTCACAAACTGCATAGGTGAGTTCATTCGATAAACATGAGATTTTTTTATTTGACCTGATCACAATTGCTTGTATTTGTGGAATGACTGTCATCTTAACTTATACACGGTTAGGTGATATACGCATAAGGGTTTTCTGCTGGGTTATATCGACAGGACACTCTCCTAGTATCCAAAACTGTACAGAAGTGTGAATAAAGTTTGTGGATTTCGTTTAGAGGTGTTCGACCTGTTCTTGTGCAACAAGCGGTTCGCTGGACGTGTTGGCATAAAAATAAAACTATATTGTGTCTCTTTGAGAAGTACGAATTAAAACCACACTTGAACAGGGGGCACTTCACGGATTATTCTCGAACTGTTTCAGTGAAACCACATTAAAGATTGCCTAAACTGATTAAGTCACATCTGAATCCGCCTATGTTATTACCGGAAAGGGCTAATACACCTGATGTTTGTGAAATTAAATAAGGTAAATGAACAACTAACTAAAGTAAATAAATATAAACAAGGTGTCCTTACGTAGTCGGTTGCCTTTAATGCGAAACTTAGAAGAGAAATAGTCCGGGAAGTGTTTTGCCCAAAGTCGTATATGCAGATCTCTCAAAAGGCTGGGACGCACTTATTTTTGTGAAGCGATTCCTACTCATGTTTTCTTGAATACGCACGATTTAAGGATCGGTTTACTGGCTGTTGACCAATTTCGGCCTGAGCAATAAGTAATGGCACTTTGACCCTCTGTCAGTGATTTTTGCTTATGTGAACTTAGTCGAAATCTATGACTTACTTCTCTGTTCTGTACGTCTGAACCATGTGGTGATGTGCAGAATAGTTTTGATCCGTTCATTGCACGTTGTTCTGAATGGAATCGCGGAAATTCTCTCGATTTATATTTATGACATCGTGCTGAATGCTGTGGAACACAAAGGCGGCCCTACGGACCACAGAAGCAAGACCTACTGCTGTGTTCTGCAGAACTCCTCGGCGCCTATTGGCTACCAGGGTGTGGCAAGTGTAGTTAGTTGTTAGGAAGCGTGCTTGAAGATGAGATTTGTTCACCCAAAATTATGTACAACGAATGTAAAACACGTTTTGCTGAATAACGGGCCTACTGCAAGTCCGCACACGCTCTGCATCATGCGGTGAGAGCTTGATTTGATTTTATCCAAGTAATTCTAAAGCAGAGGACGTCACACTGCGACACACACGGCCCCATAAGTGTTATGATACCTACTTAAATCAAATAAAAATTTAGCAGCTATACGTTCCAATTGGGCTCAGCCGCTGTTGTCAGTGATTTTTTAATTTCCGGTCCAATATATTAAAAACTTATATCAACCCTTTGATAGCGAAATAGGAACTCACTACTTCTCTTCGATTTAAACAGAATTCAAAGTGACGCTCATAATAGTTGAAACGGCACTGTTCACAATGTCTCTCTTCCTCAGTAGCGACACATGATTTAGGCTATGCAGCGGATCCAACTTGCGCAGTTCTGTTACTGGGCGAAGAGGGCGTTGGGCACTACTGATAGTAGGCTGATATCGCAGGTGTTACATGCGTGTCAGTGATTGAAGGGCAGTAGGATGGATACAATAGTGCCACTAGGTTTGTGAATAAGCTTGAGTTTGTTATCCTTGATAATAATGAACTAACCACATCATGCACAACTGGCCGGTCGCACGCCGCTCAGTAATTTCCTAAAGGCGCCATTCGAATAAAATGAGAGAGTGGGATCTTGTTTAATGTTAAAAGATTAATCCACCTTATAAGGACTTTCTACGGAAATCACCTTCTTAGGCTTTTTTTTACGTTGATCTGAACTTTGGCGTGGAAATTTCACGAAAATCATATTGTGATCATTTTTGAACCACGGATCGCGAAATAAAGCCTTAAAATATATTATGATTGTACGGTGACGACGAACCAGTTTTGAACACTGATTTTATGTTGATGATGAGGTTCGCAGTTTCGTGTTATCTGGCATCTCATACGGCGTAGTTTTCATTGGACAAAGACCGTTTTTTGATGAAGGTGATCGCATTCAAACCACAGTGTCATCATTGTCCAAGAGTAACTCAATTTTTCTGCGGACCGCAGACTTTGGAAGCTACACTTTAAGCCAACATCTTTGCAGCTCCGCGAAGTAATTAGTTGTTTTGGACTTATATGTATTTACTGATTACCGGGTGCTAAAACACTTGTGGTCTTTTTTCTATTTCTCCAGGGGTCAAAGTCCTGTCCAAGCGGATCGTGGTTTTTTGGAGAATGCACGACGTCTGGCCTTATATGGCGTGGAATTCCATAAAGTTAAAGTAAGTCACTTGTCAGGTGGCTTTTTGGATGTGATACCAACATCCGTCACGTTTTTGGATTCTTACTAAGGAAGATTATCTTTTGGAAATTCACTGGCACAAAAGAAACTCCAGGATCCCAATCGCTGTTCGGAAAGCTTAAGAGGAATAAATGCTCATGAGATTTTTAGCTCAATTGAGTAGGAAGTGATTTGTTCCCATATAACTAGTTACAGTCACCAGTGACCAAACTTTTCTTACTATGTGACGTTACAGTTGTTTAACCTTATTGTGTCGCTCTCATGACTGTCTTTGCATCCTCGAGATTTCCATATTAGCCCTTGTCATTGTCATGAGTGACCCTATTGATCACTTTTTACAGGCAGTTCACAAACTCAGCTTCCTTATCAACATCGGATCTTCTTGCAAACATGCGTTGCTGCTTTCATTCATATGGCCTATGATGGTCATTCCGAAACACTGGAAGAGAATGTTTACTTGAAGAAATGTGGGTGGACGCATAGTATACAATTAATTTAGCTCACAGTCCGCTAGTCCTTCTCTGATGAGCATGTGTAATGAAGAGAGGTGGGTTAGCAAACCGTGGATAGAATGCAATGTATGCGAATGAAAAATGGACGTAAATGAGGAGAAATGAACATGTATGGTTTCAGTAGCGTTTTATCAGTTGAGAATGCCCTAGAGGTTTGAAAGCTTCTCCAAGATCCGTGGAGTGTTCACTGCCGATGATTCTCAACCGAAACGAAATAGGAGTAGATTTCTCTTCGGATCTCAGGGTGAAATCCAGTTTTTAAAATTTAGGATGTTCCTGCTGGAAGAAGTAACCTGCAATGTTTGTTTTCCACTTTAGTGACAAATGTTTTCTTAATTTACGACTCTTCGTCAACCTCACGTTCTTTGGGTCCTTGTAGATGTACAGAACTCTTGGCGTCTTAAAAGCTTGTTCTTTCTACTGACAAAAGTATTGGTGCTCAAGCGGCCGAAAAGTGGGCTTTTTCTTTTGACTGACTCTTCCAGGGGATGGTTAGATGTTTGCGATTTGTGTTTAATTCCACCTGACTGTTGGTGCTCTATAAGACGCCTGGTAACTAGGACGACGGGTATGCATCATTTACTTTTCCATAGTTAACCACACAGAAAAGAAGACCAGCAGACTGTCCGCCGCCGAACTTCTGTCTACCAGGCTTGATGGGTTACCATGGTGAAAAGCATGAAGTAATATGGTTGCTTAGGTTCCGGTGGACGAGCGAGCTAAATGACGTTGTCCGCTTTTGTCTGTGTAACCTATTCTGTTCCATATGGTAAATGTCACCCTTCTACTTGGTCACTTCAAGGAGACACGTTGGCTGAGAAATTGATGGTATGTAACTAGGCCGGACTATTCCGAGTGTTGTCTAATCGCTCCTCATACATCGTCCCATATTCGTTTTTATCTCAAGTGCACTTTCAGAACAGCAGGATTTTCTAATCCCAGCGTAATGACCATTCAGACAGGTAGCCAGACAATTCACATCTTTTTTGCCCGAAAAGTGCCTACGGAAATAAAATATGGAATGATAGGAACTGACCAATACCACAAGTTTTTTTTAAGTTTGAGCCTCATCAGATAGGCATTTGAGCCATTAGATTCTCTTTGGAACCTAACTTTAATAGTAACAGAGTTTGCTAATGACCCGTTCATTCAAAGCCGCCAAATGGTTCAAGGTGACAATTGGCAGTCAATGCGGAATAAACTTGGAACCATGTATTCGCATCGGACCACCAAGGCCTTGAATGGCACGTTCATAAATGCGTTCAAATGGTTACACCTCGAATTCACCGCAATTTTCGTACCTTCCTGTTCGCTCAGCCCTTCATACGGTTTTCCTACAAAATATACTGCAAGGGTGTTTTCATTTGATGGTGGTCTCTTTCTCCACTATTTACCGGTTTGTCAAGAGCTCAGTTCGAATTTCGTTGAGGGTCCCTGGCGCCTAGTTTGTTTTAGATTTAATCAATAGATGCCAACTTATTTAGGAATAAGGAAATCATGCCGAAAGTTGATATATTGCTCTACTAAATTTGTCATAGTAATGACTTTATAATGAGCACGACAAGCTCCTTCCTAGCAGAGATCATCCCTCGTACCCATCAAAACCATCCTATTCTAGAATTCGTTCTATCGCTCATGGGACAACTGTTTCTGGCTAGAAGTGAGTCGTTTCCTTGATAAGGGAAGACTGAGCCTGAAATTTTCACTTGGATTGATGAGCACAAAATAATAGTCTAGCGTTCGCGTCCCGTTAAACGCCTTGTAACCAATCCGGCCTAGTTAGGGCTATGACGGATGAACAGGAGTAAACACTTTCGTGATTTGAAAGACTTGATTTAGAGTTGAACTTCTCCGGGAAGTTTCAAATGTCCTATGCTTTCCGAGCGAAGCTTACCGCCGTTTGACCTACGGGCTGCTAAAAATTATTCTGGAATTTGTCTATACCTTAACGCTTGTATTCTCTGGACGATCGCAAATGTGACTGAGATAACATTGTCTTCTACTTCATCTGTATTTGTTGGTTCCCTGTCGCTGTGAGACTAGCTGGACGTTTCAAGTTGACCCTGTATGATGCTTATTCTGACGCTGTCTCAATGCCAGGTGAGCCAGGGATGTGTCACCTAAAGATTGTTACGCACAGTGATCCTATACACTACCACTGAAGTAGAACTGCCCTGGGATGTTTTCTTTACCTCAGTTTTACTACCGGGATGATGTTTCTCCAAAACAACTGATTTCGGCAAGTCGAAAGCCAGAGGGCACCCTCGCGAGGATTTAGTTTCTATCAGTGACATTAAACTCGCGCATTTTTTTAAAGGATAACCAGCATTATTGTTCAGCTATATCACTTCAAAGTTGGAAGAACGGTTTGCCTTGTAATACAGAACATAAAAAAGTATTACAAGATGCAGGGGTGTTCTCGTTCTGAGCGTAAAACGTCTTCTAGTTGGCAGGCTGACATAATTAAGCTAATTTTGGACCGGTGTGTACATTCTGTTCTTGCAAGCACTCCTCTCGAGAACACTGTCCTCGGAGACCATTGCATATTGTTGTACTTCATTAATGTGGATTGTACACGATAACCTGTGATCATACGTTTCTGGCGTTTCCTGAACTGAGAAGTTGAATATTGCTGACTGCCCCTATGTGTTGCTTTATTACGCTATTTCAGGCAAACTGGCAATACACATGCACACTATATCTGATAGTAACAACCTGACCGACACCGGTGTGCCTATGGCCATCGATCGAAATTGAAATTAACAAAAATTTTTATCATAACCTGTGAACCTTTGGAGGCTGTCTAATATGTCGGGGACTAACCAAACCACTACTAGTCGTTATTTTTTATATTATGACAGCCCATTTATTCCCTCTGCAGGCCTGATGCTGTACATAAGTGTAGTATTCACTTGCTAAATGGGAAAGAGCCACGGGAGGGAATTGTTCCTGTCCTTGTTTTGCGTAGCCCTAAAATAAGCCTAATTCTCCACTCGATCAGTGATTGCTCCAAATCCTGTGAGGCGTGACATTCACTTCATATTTTCGTCTAACTCGTTGATATTTTTATGTTAGGAAAAAGCTAAAAATATCCGGTGAGATTGTATTAGCCAATGTTACTGGCAGAATAATTGTTCAAACATGTATGTCGTTAGACACACTTCGACTTGCTTTCAGTTCTCCGTTAGAGTAGCACTGCTGTTTTTCCACACACATGTTATCTACCAAAATCCGTCCACCTTTGAGGTTAACGAGACAGGTCTTTCTACTATGTCCACATGTACACGTTTTTTCAATCTTGGGACATTCAACCGTTTTCCTCCTAACTGTTAATTTGTTGTTATTCAAGCGGTGACGGTGCATATCGGTCAAGTCGACCCACTGATAAAGGCCGAATTCAGAATGTCTGATTGTAAACCCTTGTGTGTGCATCATCGCAGAGTTGGTTCTCAACTGCACGGGGTGAAAGGTGATGTGGTCGAGTGTGCCTTCGGTTGCGAATGTTTTGAGCGACTTGTACGAACAGATGAAAACAAACTGTTCGTTTTTAGGTGGTACCTTCAGTTTGCAAATAGCAGAGTGGACTTTGTCTGACGACTTTGTTTTATGCCTCCCAAATGTGTGCAACAGTGTACGAACAGTCACTTCCTGTCCTGAATGTCTGCCAAATCGATGAATGTACATTGGTCGCCCCCTGTACCGGACTCTGTTCTCCATCGCACCGAAAAACTCACCGCACCACACAAAATTTGATGGTTTTGTGATGAGTCTGCAGTCGAACGATAATGGTAGTTGTGTGCCACAGTTTGAAATACATGGCCTTGTGAATTTACTTTACAACAAAACGTTTTGTAATTCCAAACTCTGATCATCGTACCTAAGTCGTTACTCAGGCAGGGTTCTGGCGCCGCGACTTTTTGTTAGCGAGCGCTTGCAATACACTTTAGCAACCCTCCAGTCAACTGACTACTGGTGTCAAGAAAAATGAACTGGCCCACTTGGAACTCTATTAGTAGCTAATTTAAGTTGGATAACTCGGCATGCTTTGTGAGCCACCCTTTCCCTATTGAAATGAGGTGCATAGTCATTATGAGTACAGTGTATTTTTCGTAAAGTACTTTATTGTCAAATAAAAGCTAACTTCAACCCAACGATTAATTTCATGGTCCATGTATGTTTGACTATCACTTCAGGGAAGAGCCTTGATGTCCCATGGCTGAACAGTTCTTTTCAGGTTCATCACACTGTAACGTTTTCTCAACTTCAGTGTCCCATGCCAGCTTCAGAAAACGGCTAGAACCTGCGTTGACGTAGTCCTGTTCTTGATTATCTAACAAGAGTTGCAAAGCATCACCCTAAAAATGGCAAGTCGAAACAGTTAAAAGTGCATTTAAGTGGGCAATTACTTCCTTCCTTGATGCTATGAGTGAACTTATAATTTGCAAATAACTAGCATTCACTCAATGGAAAAAGTATAATGATCGTAATCTATTTGCTTATCTGTGCTTGGTAAAAAACAACTGTAAATCAATTTTAAAAAATCTTCTTCAGCTATCTATAATTAAGGCTTCACCTTTTGCAGCCATTCTAGTTCTTTTCTTTTCCTCACTCAATGGTGTTTTTCCTCTCACTACCGGTCTAATTTTTTTATCCATTTTAGTAAGGATTATCTTGTAATTATTCAGCTTAGAATGACAGGAACGTCCAAGTGCAATAATGAACTGTACCATTTATTTTGCCTCGTTTTACAGACTCCTCTAAATGAGAACGTCTCCATCGGAGTCTATCACAGTGGAATACTAGTTTATCGCGGACGAGTCCGAATTGGCAGATTCCCCTGGCTTCAGCTGGTCAAATTATCCCACAAATCGAAAACCTTTAGCATCACCATTCGTGCTGTAAATATTGATCCACGCATTCGTGTTGCATTCCTTTTGAAACCCACCACGGGTGTTCTTGGAACCAGGAAAAAGGCAACTACTCAGGACGACGACCTATATCAGTTGTGCACCCTCAATTGTCAGTGTGCTGATGCCAGATTGGCGAAACGGCTCTGGGAATCATGTGCATCTCAGCATGCGTTCTTCAGGTAGATTGTGTCTCATTGCCCATTTGTATAGCCATTCAAAGTGGTTAGGCTTACATCAGTGTATCCAAACGAGTAGAATTTTAAGGCTTAAACTAACGGGCCGTCGCGCGTGAGCCCCATTCATCTGATTCTCAAATCACTTCTTAGTCGTTCCTGGAAATCTCACTCCCTGTTGATGCCACTTCCATATTCAGAACATGTGTACCGACGACACAAGATGCGTTTCAAGTTGTCTGCTACTTGAATGTGAAATTCTACGTGCGTACAATCGCAATTGGTTGCAACCTGGCGAGTGGTTTCCTTTATGAAAATAACCCCTTGCACTTTGTTCACGTTCACACACCGTAAGCCGGCTTATTTCCAAGTCCCAAACAAATCTGTACATGCACACGACCCTGGTGCATCCTCCTGTCAGAATTTCGTGTTCACATCAACCTTGTCCAAACAGCGCTCCTCCTGTCCTGGCGCAATAATTCTGGTGAGTTCACACCAAGGGGGAAAACCTCAACCTTGTCCAGCGCTCCTCCTGTCCTGGCGCAATAATTCTGGTGAGTTCACACCAAGGGGGAAAACCGATCACATTGCTGAAGTGTGAATATAATCACTTGTTCAGACGTGTCTAGTGTTCGCTGGTGGATTAGTGGCACCTCACCTGTCAGATTTCTGGAAATCCAGCCCCCAAACGGTCAAATATGTGCGCTGATGATGAGTTCTAATTATATCTAAACTTAATTCCACTGCTTCCTTCCTCTGGTGTCGACTCACCAGCATGATTGCGCCAGGACAGGTGGATTACCGTTCAAACGAGAGTAAGTTGGGCACGAATCCTACGAATCCCGCAACTGCAAACCTGCAATTCTTCACAATTTGTGACAGTGCCCTGTTCACCATCGCGGTGCGGACCTCGACAGGATGGGATCGTCACGAAGAAATCTTACTATACGGGGCAAATTTGAAAAACAGTCACACTTTGGAACGCGAACAAAGTTAGTAAGCAGACAGGCCTCCGATGATGACATGATATCTAGCAAGCAGTGATCTCCATCTGAAGGCGAGGTCATGCATCAATCGGTGGCTGTGTAGGGACGATACATTTTAGTGTTGTTTCTTGCGATTCGGAGCCCACCCGAATGACAATATATCTAGCATCGTCTGTTTTTTTCGCCCATTTCGCACGCGAAATCAGAAACACTGTTGGGGTGAAAGCCATGATTGCTGTCGGATGGAAGCATGTGAATTTCAATCCGTCTTTTCTCCGATTGTGCAATCTATTTTGACTGGCGTCGTCTGTGCTGTCAACTTCCTTATCGAGGGAACACAGTGACATTTTCATTGTATACGTCAGGGACTGCTTCCGTTGCAACCAAGGCAACACAAACCCAACTTTATGTTTCCTGACTGCCCATCCCAGCAAATCAGAAGAAAAGTCACAGTGGTGTTTTTTTCCTTCTTTCCAGACTTCGTGATTCCCCAACGCCCCAGAGACCCAATTTGACCACTCTGTTCAACTCTCGAAAATACCATTATCCGGACAAAGGCATCTGCGGTTCCGGCACAGTCTTTCCTTCCTCTGACTGTTTTTTCTTCTTTCCAGACTTCGTGATTCCCCAACGCCCCAGAGACCCAATTTGACCACTCTGTTCAACTCTCGAAAATACCATTATCCGGACAAAGGCATCTGCGGTTCCGGCACAGTCTTTCCTTCCTCTGATCCGACGAAGCGCAAACAACCAAGAATAAACCGAGTTCAGACACAGCGTAAACCGGCACAGTTTGGTAAGTTTTATCAGGTCAAAAAATATGTATGGGTTTTAGTGTGCACTGAGAAACGTCTCTCCGTCTCCCATTCATACCTGGCGATTTTGCGCAACCTGCTTCCAGGGTAGGCATGTGGACGCTATCTTCCCAGTCTACCACATAGAACTTTCTGACTTCTTATCCTAAGTGGGAGCTACACAATGATGGTGCCTTTGAGTCCTGTCAAAAATCTGATTTTGTTTTCAAAGTGAAAGCTGTTTTGGTCCACTCAACGCATAACCACATCTTTTCATTTGAACGTGCTACGGGCATCCAAACGTCTCAACAGGAAACAGAGCACACCCAAGTGGCCTGTCCTAATTTACGGTCTAAATTCAGTTCGATCACATCTGCTCTATCATCCACGAGAATAAATATTTCTGTTCGTTTACCGTTATTTGAGTATGACATATGAGGGTGGGCGTGCGGACGTTGGAATTTCACTTATCCTTTCGTGGGGAGGAGGAACAAAAGGGACTGAGTCATTTTTGATTCAGAACCTTTCTAGACTAATTAATTTGGAGTGTGTTATAGGATGATTGTGCGTCTACAAATGCACCGTTGAAACGAACTCTCGTTCAATGAGCACCGCCCACAAAATATGTACGGATTTTTGAGAAGGACATTGTAGGCAGGAAATCACAATTGTACTTCATCGATATAGATAAACTGAGGAGTAAGTTGCTTCCATCAAGACAATTTATGGCCTGGAAAGTACTGCGTCTGTCCGATCTTCCGTACTCACCCAGACAATCAGGCAGGGATGCGTACTTTTAACTACCAATGGCTGGTAATATCTGTGACAAAGACCCCTTCGAGAATATGAAGCCTGGCGGAATTCTCAAATCTGTTCACGCGGTCCGAGTGGTCAGCTTTTGCGCATCTAATCAGAAATGGATGTTACATAGCCTGTGCTTTGCTTCATTTGCAATCCATTCCTGTCCGTCGTTATCATCCGGCTTCACCAGAGGAATAAATTCACTCTTCTTCTACATGTTTGCCTCTCTCCCTTCCATCACCATTTTGTTTGTAAAGCAAAAACTCCGCTGACTACACCTTTGATTGGGAGAAAAAGTGAGTTTCTATAGCTGCAAGACACTCCATCCTGAGTGTGAATGCTACACCTCTGAAATCAGCTTGCCGAAATCTGTGTTGCATGTCTTGGCTTCGTTGTTGCCCTGGTTGTACCTGGTCTTTGAATAAACTTCACGATAAGAGTTTGAGCCAAAATAAGTTTGTTTCCAAGATGTCTGGTAGAGAGCAGCCCGTCTAAATTATAATTAGTGGCTTGTAGTGCGTGTCTGTTTATAGTCAGTGGCTTAACAAACACCCAGAGTCAAAATGAATTACTAGTTCGATCAAATCGTGTTTGTTTTTGTGTCATCCATCGGTCCTGATCTGCTGTTTACGCACATGCTTGTTGAACGATATGTCTGTAATTTGCATGATCGTTTCACGTCATGTATGTCTTGTGACTGATGCTTGCTTTCCTCTAGAAATGTTTGGAATTGCTTCGCTGTGGCTCGTCCTCCGTTGTGCTGGTCATCTCTATATCTTGCCTCAGTCCCATACAGTAGTCCAATCGCTTGTTGTTATCTATTATTTACAGCCAATTAGAAAATATTTGCGATTTACTGTGAACACTCACCAATATGTCTCGTGTGACATGATAATCCCTAGCAAACTCATTTTTCACACGTTTTTTTCTCGAGGAATCCTACTGCCATCTTGTGCTGCATCATTATACCCAGTATCATACGAGAAACTCAGCGAGAAGAACTTAGGTTTCATATATCTGGATAGCCAAGCCGCACGTTTCCTGTTGATAATCCTTTTGTCTAAAGTCCAGCTTTTCACAAGGAGCGGTGTAAAAAAACATGGCTGTAGAGCTTAGACCAGTTGTTCAGTTAACCTTTTGAATAGACTGGCGTATTGCTGGCGTCCAGTTTAATGCTGGTCCCATGTCATCTTCACACCAAACAAATCGGTCACCATCATGTTGAACGTGCTTCTTAAATTCCCGGTTTGGTAAGAGGTTCGAAAGCCTCATGCTGATGTCTTTAATAAAAAATCTACACCAACATTTTTCAACCAGAATTTAACCTTGAAAGAAATGTGGGGCATTCATATCCATACCCGGAATTTTACTGGTGTGAATCTCCTTTGGAGCTTCAACAAAGACGGAAAAGCTGCACCGCGCTCCTCACCTCACATGATCGGTTGATTAACCTTTAGAATAAACCCAAATTTGATACGAAAACTATGTTCGAGGATTGATTCTTGATCCCTTGGTTGCGTCGAATGTTCCTAGTGATCCTTACAAACTGGATGGAATTTGAGTACTGCTAATAAAATCCAGGATATTTCCCTTCGTTTGTGTACTGACCCTCAAACGCTCAAACAAACAAAAAATAATATACACAAACGGAATAAAAGTGTTTCCGAGTTTTCATAGCGACCTGCGCGAACATGAACATGCGAGCATGAATCATCTCTAACAGTCAAACTTTCAGAAAGTATGCTTCTTCCCTAATGTTGTTGGATTTCCGCTTCATGATGTAGTTTCCTGTGTGTTATGCGTTGTGTTCAAATCCATGGACTCGACTTCGTATTCCTGCCGAAGTGTAACCGTCGGTCTTGTTGGTAGCTTCATTTCGAAAGCAGGTTTCAAGCTAAAGCTGAATCGACTCTGTGCTGAATGCCTCCCGCCATTCCAACTTTTTTTTGCCATTTTTCGTATTCTACATTGTTAGTTCTCATTCAAGGTAGTTTCGTTTTTCATATGTCCATCTTTTAATCCGTCGCTGGTAAATTTGCTAACTGCGCCTTTGGAATTAATGAACACACGACTGAAGAATAGTATGGATGGAAACCGAACAGATTTGATTTTTCTCCCGGCAATTTTCTGGATTCGGGACACGTGATTGCTATGTGTACGACCTACGTAACTGACCGCTCACTACGCAATGGAGTGAAAACAACTGATTGCTGGAGCATGGAGAACGGTCAGATAACCGGATGCGTTCCCATCTAGCACTCGCCCAATGGTTTACGGGCTATTTAATGAGCTATTACTCCGCTTGGCGACTGAGGCAGTCTAACAAGTAGTTGTACTATGGTTCGGAATAAGCAGCTACTTATTCCAAGAAAGTAGGTAAACAAATATGCACAAATAAATAGACAAATAAATATGGACATCGTGAGAGGGACTAATCATATGACTGATGAAAAATCTTCAACAGCTTACCACCGATTTTGCCCTTCTTGGAACTCATCCGATAGACGTAGTCCCCGAGTTTTCGTCAACCTTATTTCCTACTTGAACCCAAATTGGACTGATTTCGCAAGTACACGCATTTGCAGATCAATTTGGTTTAAACGAAAATAAGTTTGCTTCCAAGAATTTTCGTAGAGAGCAGCCTGTTTAACTTGTAATTCGTGGCTTGTAGAGAGTGACAGTTTATAGTCTTTGGCATATTAAGTTTCAGCCTCCACACAGCTACTCTGATACATTCAAACTTCTGGATACCTGGGCCAAGAAGATCATTTCATTATGGGCTGTAACGTTGTATGAATGGGCGGAATGAAGTAGTAATAAAGGACGGACCGCAGTCGGGACTTTATTTCTGCTTCCTATGGACGGCTGTTATCAATACACTGGGTTATGCATATCTTTCACACCACCTAACAGCGTAATAGACTTTAAACGATAACTTACGTGGTAACTTTGTTGTCACTGGCTGTTGATTGATTCAGGTATTCACATGCACACCGGTAGCTTACCGATTTAGAAAGTTCACCTGCAGAAAGCATGCTATACATTAGGTATTACAAATAGTTTACGTAAATCGCGGTTTGTTGTGTTCCGTTGCTGTACTGTTGTCGCCGTGGTTTATGTCATGTGAAACAATTTTGTTGGCAAAATTGAAGTCACTGTACATAATGCAATGGTCAGAAATAGGTATCTCTTTCTCATCTCTAGTCTTAAACACCATCCGACCTGATGGGTGGCTAACAGGCAAATCTCGTGCCATACTGTCATGATTCTTGTTTTACTGACTTGGGCACCCGAACAATGTACCCTAATAATTGAATTTTCCTTGTCAGAGACATTGTCTATCGCCTGTGTGACTCGTTGTGTAACTGTGGCAAGCGTGTGGTTGATCATCAGACTAAGTAAACCTATCAGGTCAATGTGAAAATACCTCTACTCCAGTGCTACTGTGTTTGGTAACTACTGTGATCAGGTTGTCGGTTTGTGAGTGGCTTTCAGACTACTCAAGTCGATAGCAATTTAAAGTCATTTGCTCATTTCATGATCCTGTGTGCCTGTGACCACACGCTCCATCATGGAACATCACGCCTCAGTCTTCCCAATCACACCGTAGCCACCGACATAAAAGCAGACCCATCGCCAACATTATCGCCTGCGTAGATAATACTTGAGGCATAGTGGTATTGGACCAAAAACGATGATCCTTTCGTTGAGAGAATTACTAGCACAGTCATTGTTGTTGACATGGCCGGCTTTATTCAGAAAACGTCCGTTAGCAGATGGAAGCTTGCTAAGTGCGGAATTCGAACCAACCTGACTATAAATTTCCCCCATTCTTTATAGCATTTTCTTGTTCAAAGATACTGATATTTACAAGACTTGTTCTTCGGAAACCAGATTTTGTCCATACTTGAGACTTTCGTCACATCGAACTGTTTTTTAGAAGAGAAACTTCAACACAGTTCTTTTTTGTTTGAGGTTTTATTGTAGTGGAGAACTTATGAAATGAAAAGCATAATGACAAAGCAGAGACTCGTTGCCTAAGGTGAACACGCCACTAAGAACCAGCTAATTAATTCAACGATATATATACTCACATTATAAGTTTTGGAAAATTTTAACCCCTGTGCGCTGAACAAAGCGTGATTAGAGTTCACAATTAAGAAGGCTGGGGCTTTTACAATGCAAATCAAACGCTCATCCAAACCAACTCTGGTTCGCCTCAACTTATGATTTCGATCAGCTTGCTGTTAAATTTTTGAACGATTTGACTCTGAACTGCATTGAAGCTGGCCTATGTTACCGAATTCCACTGCTCCATTATTTCTAGCCTCAGATGGTGTTGCTCCTGTAGCATACAGTGAAGATCCTGATCAATTCTACATTCTTCCGGGTTCGCCATCGCCTCTTCCTGCTAATGCGGTCAACGTCAACGTACTTCAAAATTTGCCACCGGCTTACAGGAGGTCAACGTCAAGTACTTCAAAATTTGCCACCGGCTTACAGGAGGCCAGGTGCCACTAGAGTACCCCTTGCCCAGGAGTACTGGCGGATGTCGCCAGCCGATTGTACGCCTGGGCTGGGAATGAACAGTGATGGGACCGACGTTGCAGCAATGGCCAATACGGATTGGCAGGTGAGGGCACTTCACCGAGCACACTTATATACTAGTGTTTACTGTATGGCAGGACGTACTACTCCTTTAGGGATCGATACGATAAACTGACTTAAAGTTCTAATGGAGTGACTTCAAAAACTTGCCGATGTGTTTTTCACTAGACTATCGTGTTTGTAACCGTTTGAAAATAAGTTAAACCGATTTCACTCTGTTTGGCAAGCAACATTTTTTTTATAGATTCCCAGTAGTCAGATCAACTTCTAGGCCGAAATTTTTCACTAGAGTTTGAATGTATGTTGTCCGGTTTTGAATCTCTCACTGAATAACCTGGAGTTCAATGTTTGTCAGCCATGAATTAAAATGATGACGTCGATTCCAAATTGAGTGAATCCTTTTAGCAGTTACTGTTTGCGCCAACATGCTCTACCTCTTAGTAAAACAACTTCCCTCCATGGTTTATACTTGGCAACATTTTGGCTGTGATATTAGCATATGAACCACTCCTAATCGGACAACATTCGTAATGCTTCTTCCGTCACGAAGAGACTGGACCTTACCGTGGTGTGACGGTTTGCGCACCTCAGCGATCCATTGAGCTATACTGGAGAGTGTCC